GATCCTAGAATCAGGGATATAAAATATTGGAGGAACGATGGATTTAAGGTGACACATTCTTGGGAAGCTTGGTCAGAATAAAGACCTCCTCAAGCCACAGACAGTGTGTTTGCTCTCAAAGCTAAATGTTTCTAGCTTCCGTGGATCTGGTCTTTAAAATCACTAGGTGCAACATGGTTATGCATAAGAAAATTATTATAAAAACTTCTCGAGGATTTTAAAATTTACTGGCTATCGTGCTTTTTATCCAATAGAAGCCCAGACAGCTAAACTCTGGAGAGATCCTTTAAAAGAGATGTAAGCATAATTCCAATAAATATTAAAAACTGCTAGACTACTCTCAAAGCACTTTTTGGTGAATTATGCACTCTGAATATATGAAGGTATGATTACTGGTATGGGTGGAACATTAACAATCTCATTCCCCTGGGACTTGTGCCTACTTGGATTTTGCATATTCAATATAACAGGAAAAAAACCCTAACCAACTGTTTCTATCTCTGTTGGTACTCTCACTCAACAAATTAGGTGATTTTTTTTTTTTTATTTTTCCCATTATTCACAGTTATTCCATCCTTGTTGGTTTTCTTCAAGTCCATCAAAACTGTTTTGGATTAGGAGAGGGGATTTACAAGAAAAATGGTGCCAGTATTCCTTGTTAATTGTAATGTAAAAATATGTAGTAAATAAACACCACCATAATTTAATAACTTACTAAATCATGATCAAATCTCTTAGCTATACTATGTGATGCCTCACTGGAATGTATTCAATAGATCAGCTTCCAGCTAATTCAGTTTTTCTGAACAGTCCTGTACAGTATTATTATGAACAGTTTTAATTATACAGAAAAGTAAAAAAAAATAAAAAAGAAAAGAAAAAAAAAAGCAAAAGCCAGCAGGGACTAAAATTTCTGTCAGACACATTTGGAAATCCTGTGCATATCAAATGGTAGAACTGTGACTTACTTACTCATTTTTTGGTGGTTAGGGGAGGTGGCAGTCTCTGACAAACCTACTCAGACTTTACCACGCTGCTTGTGTGCACCTGAGCTAATCCACAAACCAGCCATCTCCCATTCCTTAATTCCTCTCCATTAAGACTTGCAAGTCTGTTGACTGCTGCAAGAGACTGAATAATTGATTTCTGCAGCCGTGCTCCCGTGCTGGGGAAGCTGTGGTGTGGTTCTGCTTCTGTGCTCCCCAGAGAACACAGGACTGCACAGGTTCCCGAGCAAGTTCCAGCAGAAGTTTACCGTTCCCGTATGTGTCTGACGCATCCAGATATTTCTGAATGGTTTCCAGTCATTAAATATACATTATGACACTCATGCAGATAGTCATTATACCACTCTTGTGATGGGAGTAGGGATTTTTTTTTTCCCCTTATTTTTTCTTGTTGAGACACAACAAAGGGCACACTCTGAATGTTCCCCTAATAAATCCCACCCCTGAAGGGAGGAAGTTAGGGTTAGAGCATGTTTGCTGAGGCATAGTGTCTGCCTTCATCCTCCTAGGCAGTAGGTTAAAATGTGTCAGCATCAGCAAACTTGCACTTTAAGTTGCTTTAGTCACGTCAGGGGGCTTGGATGCCCCGGTTTCAGCCACACCAGACCAAAAGGCACTCCCCCTGCCCACTTAAAAAGCAGTGAAGAGATGCTTTAGCCAAAGTGTTTCAAGTCCAAGAAGGAAAGAAACACTGATGTGTAATAAACTTCTGATGTGTGTTAGAGAAAAACCAGACCACAGCAGCACGTCCAGGTTGTGAGAGGCAGGCAGGTGATACACATCACCTTTTATTTCTTCCTTTTAGAGAAATTTAATTATCTATCTCCATTAAAAGTGGATAGATAGATCATCCTAAAATTATCTTTCTACTTGAAAGTGTAACAGAAGAAAACACATCTTAAACATCAGCACTTTCTAATGTAAATGTAGAGTAGGGATAAGAAATCAGAATAATGGATGCTTTGGAAAAGTGCTTGTGTTTAAACAGTGCATTTTGTTCCTACTCCTTTTTCTCTGCTCTTTCTTGTGAACCCTCATCTTAGAAATGAGTATTTCACACAGGTGTTTTTTTTTGTTCTAACCTTTCAGTTTTTTTCTCCATATTGTTTGAGATCAAAATAGTTATCATCTAAATTTAATTTAACACACCTTTCTCTGTGTGATGGGCTGCTATTTCAGAGGGTACAATGCCACTATTAATCATCATAAAGAAAATGCATGAAAAGAGTCCAAAATATGTGTCAAGCACTTCAGTGTGATGGATGCACAATAGATGGCACCATTATTATCACTCAGCAACTTGAAAACTTTTGATCCTCACATTTTCTCCCTTTCAAACATCATTAACTTGTTCATGAGATCCAATATTTTGTGAAAAATGTATTACTCTTTTGCTCACTTTTTCCTCATCCTTCATGCTGCATTGACACAGCCAGTTACCTGAAATTTCTTAATGCATTGTAAGTTTACTTCTCAGTTGTATGAGATTGCAAAGAAAACCAAAACAAATGGTTTTAGGGAACACAGTCAATTATATTGATTTTAATCTATTAATGCAAAAGCAGATTGTACGAATGATTGTATTTGGGAAACTTACATTTATTCATCACAGTTTTATTTACTCCTTGAATTAGTTCTATTTTGTGAAAATAAACTAAAATCCCAGTGTTGGCTGTGGCTGATATTCTTCTTCTTTTAGGATTGTTAGAAAAGTTATACAAACCTGGTGAGATAGACCACTGCAGATAGCCTGCAGATATTCCCTGATGAGCTCATTCACGTGATCTGCTCTAACCATAAGCTCCATGAGACCGTATGTGGGAATGTGTTTTTGAATGTGGAGACTGAGAATTGTAAATAAATGGGGCTTCAAGCAAGAATTCTGTAAGTTTGGTGTAGCTGGCCATTTCAAATTTATTCGCAGACTGTTGCTATTGTGTAATATGTTATATATATATATATATATATATATATATATATATATATATATATATATATATATAGGTAAAATATGTGTTAGAAAGGGTTTATTTGGTTTGGAACAAAAATAAAAAAGGGAAGTAACTCAGATGTTCACCTTTCATTATGCTGAATTGCATTTTCTTGAATGAAAGAACATACCCGATTTAAGAGAGTTTTTTTAAATTTTTTTTTTTTATGAGATCTTTGATATTTCCTGATTTTTCTAAAGCATTTTTTTAAGGAGAAATCCTGACCTAGGAAACTTGGCTTCTGAGATTGAATTTTCCTGCTGTTCTGTGAAAATATTGAAATTGTGAAAGCTAAAGGCTGCAACACCAGAAGAGAACCAACAACATTTGATTTTTATTTGATCATTTGTGAAGTAAAACAGTATTTTTGAGTGGTGGGCTGGAAACAGAACTGCTTTCAACCACTGGGTAGAGTTTCCACAACTATTCTGCTCTCTATAGTAATAAAGCCAATTCCTTTGTCAGAGCCTATCATCTGAACAACTGTGTGAGAAATCTTAAAAGCTAAAGTCATCCAATAATTAAACTTCCTATTGCAAAGGAAGCTTCTTTTTCCTTTTTTGAAAAAAAAACCCCTTTCAGTCTTAATAAAATTGCCATGAAGGTCCACAGTGTTTCATAGAAGTGAAATTCATAAGTTTCAGTACAAAAAAGAAACTATATTTCTAAAGTCTCAGCTTAAAACACATTTGCCATCATTCAGGAACCATTAATTCACAGCTACAGTTTGTAAGTAATTTTTATTTCTTTTAGCAGTACACATTATGTTTTCTTTATAACATTAATCTGATATTAAAAGAATTCAATCTTAAAAATATTACAACTCTTACATTTTTCACTTTAAATTTTAATCAGAGAGTATGGAAGAATCAATAGTTACTTAAACTTTGAAAGGTTCTGAAAGCAAACCTGATTATAAGTTAGTGACTTAATGATTTAGTACTTTACTGGATAATCAATAATTTCTAGCTGATGTTCTGAATCACTCTTACTGAATCTGTTCTGGAAAGTTTGTAATGGCACCACAGAAGTTTCTGGCAGGCAGGTTTAACTGAAGTCATCATCAGTGACATAGACAGTGGGATTGAGCACACCCTCAGAAAACTGCAGATGATGCCAAGCTGAGGGGTGTGGTTGACACACCTGAAGGATGGGATGCCATCCAGAGGGACCTGGACAAGCTGGAGAAGTGGGCCCATGGGAATCTCATGAGGTTCAGCAAGGCCAGGTCCAAGGTGCTGCACCCAGGTCGGGGCAACCCCCGGTACCAATCCAGGCTGGGGGATGAACATATCCAGAGCAGCCCTGCTGAGAAGCACTCAGGGGTGCTGGTGGGTGAGAGGCTGGACATGACCCAGCCATGTGCACTGGGAGCCCAGAAACCCCACCATATCCTGGGCTGCATCCAAAGCAGTGTGGACAGCAGGGGAGGGAGGGGATTCTGCCCCTCTGCTCTGCTCTGGTGAGACCCCACCTGCAGTGCTGCCTCCAGCTCTGGGGTCCCAGCACAGGAAGGACATGGACCTGTTGGAGTGAGTCCAGAGGAGGCCGCCAAGGTGATCAGAGGGATGGAGCAGCTCTGCTATGAGGAAAGGCTGAGAGAATTGGGATTGTTCATCCTGGAAAAGAGAAGGCATCAGAGAGGTCTAATTGCAGCCTTCCAGTGCCTGAAGGGAGCCTGCAGGAAAGGTGGAAGGGGATTTTTCCAAGACTATGTAGTGAAAGGACAAGGGGGAATGGCTTCAAACTGAAAGAGAATAGGTTTGGACTGAATATTAGGAAGAAATTCTGTCCTGTGTTGATGGTAAGGCTCTGGTTGCCCAGAGAAGCAGTGGAAGTGTTCAAGGCCAGGTTGCACAGGTGACTCTGAGCCGCCTGGCCCAGTGAAAGGTGTCCCTGCCTGAGGCGGGTCCTGTCCAACCCAAACCCTTCTAAGGTTCCACGATGCTATGACACACAGAGCCACATGTTCTGATGTCACAAGAAGCTGTGTTCCAGCAATGGATTTGGTATCCAAGTCGAGCCACAGTTGTCTCCAGGCTGAGGTGTGTAGGGGGTTATCTATTCTGTTCTGCTGTGGCCCAGCCAGGACAGCACTGGAAGCGTCTGGTGTGGTATGGATCTTGTTATTCTGCTCTTGTATGACTTCTGAATTTAAATAGGAAAATTTTTATCATTACACTGTGTAAACAATCCTGATACTGCAGGGAAGTCCTCATCAGATAGTATCTGGTTCCACAGATGGCCCTCTGAGGGATCTTGTGTCTATAATATCTTTGGTAATGCACTAACAGAATGAGGTTAAAAAATACAGTCTTTGTAACAGGCAAAGTAAGACATCAGTGATAAATTCAATTATTTTAAATGCATCAGACCAGGTTCTGATTTCAGTTACATAGATATAAACAGGCCTGCTGGTACCACAGTTTTTTGTGCATTTAAGAAAGGTCAGAATCTTATTTCAGGGATGTAAAATGCATGCAGTTTAGACTTTGTAATACATATTAGCAAAATTTAGTCTGTCCGTCCTTGGTATTTCCTTAGACATCAGCATTCAAAATATTTTACAAGATGTTTTGTGAGTTCGATAATTTTTTTGTCAGTTATTTGGGGTTGATTTTTCTCTCTCTCTCTCTTTTTTTTTTTTTTGTTTTTTTTTTTCATGACTATATAACTCCAAGCATTTCATGTAGCTGCTAAAACTCTTGTATCAGACATCCATTTCAGAGAGGTCCAGCTGACATGTGAGGCTGGATGAATTAGCAATGGCTGGAGAAGACATATATCCCTTTTTGTTGTTCATACCAGATATTTCATAGGTGCTGTATGGAAAGGAAAACTGTACTTTAAATATAGAGTTAAGTGGCTAAATTGTACTTCATCTTCAGTAGTAACTTTCACTTTTATGAGGCAAGTGAAATTCTGATGATTTGCCAGAAAGCTGGCATAGTTTTACCTGTCATTTTCCAAAAATTTGCTAAGCACATGCTTGCATGGGCTAAATATTGGGGGTTTTAAATTAAACTTTGTAAATAAACTTGTAAATTACTTACATCTACGTAGCTGATATACTCAGTGATTCGAAAAAGACAAAAGCACATACAATAATTCAGGCAGTTGCAGAAAGAAAGCAAAATAGATCTGTTATTGCCACCCCCAAATCAAATTCTCCAAAGCCTATGGATTTTAATGGACCATGCCATTGAGATGGCAACAAATCTCTGGTAATGCAGCTGAGAGCCTCCAAGCTTTTCATGCCAACACTAATTCAGTAAAAGTCTTGTCTAAAACAAACTTCAAACTTTGTTACAGTCCTTTATATGACAGGTTTATCTGTGTTCGCTGATTTCCTGCCAACTGACTGCACCTGGTTCACTCTAAATTAGTTACAGTTAATTGTCAATAAAGGTGAAGAAGGTCCCCTTGCCATTTTTTCTTGGCTGTGAAGTTGGTGAGTCTAGTAGCTATTTTACAGTTAGAGTACTGTTTAATACATAAGTTTTGAGGGGGAAAAGGAGTAAAATTAATAGTAGTGGTGACTGGTTTTGATTTTTTTTTCCTATGTGCTTTTTGGTGCAGGCAATATGTGAGCACAGCTGCATTAGGGTGTTGAGATGTTATTGAATTCAGCTGAGTCCTGTTTAGAGTGACTATAAAGGGTGTGGCCGTTCCTTTCTTTCTTCTTTTTTTTCTTCATTCTGTGAAGGGGAAGGGTTGATTTAGAAGAAGCAGGGAGAGAGAAGCCCCTACAGGTAAGGTTTTGTATTTCTGTTAGTCTGTTTTTTTTTTTCCTCTCTGGTACTTTTCCTTATGTAGCGGGTTTGGAGGGTAAAATAAAATTTTCTCTGCAGAGATAGAGGGATTAATAATTCTTTTGTCCCTTTGGAAGATGAGATTTATGTATCTCTTGGCTTTCCTCCCATAGGTCTTGCCACAAAAAAGTCTTGCTTTTAAAATGAGATATTTTGTTACTTTTAATTATAATTTCTCTTCATCTCTTCACACCTGTTGCAACTGATGTTCCTATTAATCCAGCATACTTAGGATTTGGTTCTGTCCTTGGTCATTTTATTCCTGTGTTAGAAGCGCTGAAGCAGTACTGGTGTAAATCCAAATGCTGTAAAGGTTGATTATAGACTTGCAGTTAAGCTCTTTTACTTCAGTGTAGTCTCTATTAGAGCAAGTGTTCTGTAATTAAGAAGTGTGTTTGTTTGAGATAAACCTGTTTCCCTGCACCTGTGTGGAAAGTGAGGCTTAGGATTCAGAGGAGATTAACGTTTTTGATTCTGAGTCAGTTTTCAGCTTCTCTAATGAAAACCCTTCTGTTGAATTTTCTTTGGGACATGGAAGCTCTAGTTTGAACTTGGAGTTAAATATGTGTCAGTCACTGTTCTTTGCTTCTTTTCCTTTACAAACTGTTGCATAGAAGACAAGAAATATGATAAGAACAATATCTACAAGGCTTAGATCCCCTCCCTCTCACTGGAGTTCTGTGTTGTAAAGTGTGCTGCTTCAACCTGTCCCTTGCACTCCTTTCTGCCTCACTCTTTGTCTTTCATGGATGATTCCTGTGTTGTGAAGGTCTAAAAAACTCAGAATTTTTGCTTCTTCTATTCTTATTTTGAGTACTATGGAGATTGATATCCAGGCTTCCTCCTAGTTAGATGGGTATTGTTTTCCTCTGTTTGCTTGCAGGGTTCTGATAGAACCACAGAATGGCCTGGGTTGGAAGGGACCTTAAAGCTCATCCAGTTACAATTCCCTGTGCCATGGGCAGGTACACCTTTCACCAGACCAGGCTGTTCAAGGCCCTCTCCAACCTGGCCTTGAATACTCACAGGGATGGGGCATCCACAGCTCCTCTGGGCACCTGTGCCAGAGACTGAAATGGTTAATGATTTAGACATTCCAGAATTGCCAGGGGACTTCTGCAGGCTGGGAAGAGGCAGCTGGACCATCCCCCCTGTCAGTGCCAAATCCTGAAAAGCTGCTTTTTCCCTAAAGGTTGTCTTTATACCATATTACTATAGATGATAACACCCAAAATGGCAACATACCTGTTTACCTTTGGAACAAAATTGTTCTAAAATAAACCCTACATGTAAATGTTTTCAAACACTGGTTATTCAGTGTTGTTTCACTCTAATCCACCCCAAGGCATTTATTACTAAGAACCTGGGTTACCCCCCAGATTTCTTGTAGGCTCCCCCCTTCATTGCTTTCTTAGCTGTAATATTTATATCACAGCTAGCAGGGATGTAGATACAAATGCCAGATTTTCATGGAACTCTAGCTTTCTGTAGACACAGTGAAAACAAAAATTATCTTGGACATTTTAATTAATAGTAAAGTAGGTAAATAACTAATGAATACCATCTGTTTGCTTACACTGAGAATCAAAAATGTGTCTGTTACTTTGGGGACAGAATATTCATGAAACAGAATCTCGCTTTTCCAAGATGCTGTTTTTACAAAACTATTTCTTTGACCTTGCAGTGGTAAAGTGTATGTATTTTTAGGGCATTTCTTCATATTTGTTGTTCTGCATTTTTGCTTTGGAACTCCTGTTTTCAGAGGCTTGCTTCTCCTTTCCTCTTGGGGTTAAATAGTTAGGAAAAGTCAAGGCAAAACAAAACTTGAACAACTCTTTCTCTATGCTGGCCATGTGTGAGAGGGGACTGGGGGAACTGGGACGGCTGGCTGGGGAGGGCCCTCTTTTGCTGAAATAGCTGCTCTAGTGGGGCCTGAAATGAGCCCTTAGATCAGAATTGAGAACTGAAATATATATATTACATATATAATTATATACAGTATAATTTCAGTTGGACCTTTTGCTATGGATTGGTTTTGCATCCTTGAGTTTGTAAAATAGATGGGTTTTTTAATAAAACTCACTATAATAGCAATGCCTAATCAGCCAGTATGTAAACATTCCCTTCTGTTAATGTAGCATTTTCCCTGTTTGCTTTATAGTTTTTTTTAATTACTGAAAGACTGTTCACGAGAACTTTACAATTGTTTATAATGTAAAATCACAGGAATTTTTTACAGTGCTATATTATAAAGAACTACTTACGGAATTATTGCAAGATTTTTCACATACTGGATAAATTACCTTACTGTTCATATACCAATGTCTGTGATACTTGTCTGTGCTTTAGGGTAGAATTGTCATCTTTTTTTTTTCCAGCCAGGCCAGTGTAGTTAATATGATTCTGACAGATGAATATTTGATTACTCAGACCTTCTGAAGAAGCAGACCTGAGTCAGAGGGGTGTAAGAGGCGGGGTGGGGGGAATAATTAACAGGCAAATGTTGCATATGTCAGTGATGTTGCCCAGAGAAGCTGTGGATGCCCCATACCAGGGAGTGTTCGAGGCCAGGCTGGATAGGATGGGGCACTGAGCAACCTGGTCTAGTGGAAGGTGTCCCTGCCCGTGGCAGAGAGGTTGGAACTAGGTCATCTTTAAGGTCCCTTCCAAATCAGGCCATTCTGTGACAGGGAAAATGTTAGTGCAGGAAAGCCCACAGGGAAATGCAACCGGGAGCACAACTCAATGCTGTAAAATCCCAAGGTTTTAAAAATTCAAGTTTAAGGAATAATTGAGAGATTTTACCTCAAAAGAATTTCTATACAGCAAGACTTCTGAGTGACTCAGTGAAGTGCTGCTTGTTCAGGTCTCTTAGACCTGGCTGGACTGGAACCTCTTTCTTTTGTAAAGTTCAGGACCTCTGTATGAAAGGTAAATTCAAGCATTTTCAAAGCAACTTACTTTGGTTTAGTAGCCTATGAGGTAACAGTCTTGAGCAAATAGTCAGGGAGGTTCTGAATCAAAAAGCACTTTTACCAGTGAGTATTTATTAAAGTATGGCAGTAAATGTGTACGGAGGAAATTTGTGGGGATTTTGTTTTGTTTTCCTCTACCCAAAGGTATATTTCCCAAGAGGTATAACTAAAACATTCAATAATATTCCCTTGTACAGCATCCAATAATGCAATGGCTGGAAGACAAGAAAGCGGTGGAGTAGCTGGGCGGGTGCACTGGATATTATCAATAACTTTGATGCTGTGGAGTTACCAGATCAGTGGACAAGGACAAGGTAAGTGAGGATCTTTTACTGAAACTTTTGCCGTTTGCTCAGTGTTCTGTAGCACTGTTTGGAGAGACAAAGGTGTACGGTGATATGCTGGACTTGTGTGAACTGCTGACAAGAAAATGAATATTTTCTATTATTTCTAATATTTCTAAAATGTGAAGTACTTCAGTTAAGAGGTCAAATGCTGTTTGGAGAATGTCTCGATGCTTTAAGAGATTATCCAGGTGCTTGAATCTGTTTTCTTGTGCACAGTGATTGGAGTGTGGCTTGAAATAGATCTTCCACTTTTATCTGTTGTTGGCTCTCTGGAGAAGGAGAATTAGTTGTTTAAGAGATTATAAACATGGACAATTTGTGTTACTTGGCTGTGATATCTGCAATGAACATGCAATACTCTGAAAGGCTTTTGTGGCCATGCTGTAAATATTTTCCATGTTGTGTTCCTGTCTCACTGATAGAGGTGCATAACAGCTGCAAGAATGTAGACAGGCAAAAAAGAGGTATAACTTCTTAGGGTTTTGTTTTTGAAAAATGAAGCATTATTGCACGTTTCTGAGCTGAGGACTGTTCCTAAGGGCTGGTAATAACAGACTGTTGTATTTTTAATATATATTTAGTGTAAAAGATGCTTGTGTGTTTTCTGTCGAGCTGGGGAAGGGGAAAAATCTAAGTGACAATTTTGAGGCATTGACATTAAAGGGAAGTGGATACGTATTCCCTTTCGAGGTATGCCAGGCACATTCAGGTGAGCTTTCTATGTCCTTAATTTATTTCTCAATTGGGGAAAGCTGTCTGGTGTCTGACTACAGGTTCTTTGCTGCTTTGGTACATGGCTACAGGCACCAGGCTGGCTGGTGTATGGATCCTGTGCTGGGTCGCTTCACTAAGCAGTTTGGGCTGAAGTAAATAGTTCTTGGCTTTTGGAAGGACAATGGTGTTTGCTTGCTGTAGTTCTAGGTGTAGGAAAGGGATGTAAACTGTGCACTGTAATTCTACAACTGGTCACCAGACATGCAGAGGAGCTTTTCTGTGGTATAAACTGTATCTGTACAAAAAGGTGGTTGGTTTTCTAAAGCTTCCATTTCATTATTTTAGTCTTTGAATTGGAAAAGCAGATATATTAGAAGACTGACTTTTTTTTTTTTTTTGGGGGGGGGTATTGTGCTAAAATGTCGCAGGTACGGTAAATTTTTGGGTTTTATGAAATGCTGGTGAATGGTACTGGAAAGAAACACAGAAACAGTAACTCGAGAGTTTGTTTTCAAAGTGGTCAACGTGAAGACACTTGTGCTGTGAAATATTCTTTGTATGGTTCTTTGAGTTTCTGTCTGATGACAAGTATTGAAGAATGAAACCTTGTCTTGAATGTAAAATGGCTCCCTAACATTGGCAGTAACCCTTACTGGAAAAGGGATATGAACTTCCATAGTGCCATTTTGCTTTAATTTTGAATAACTTTGATAGGTTGTTCAGCAGCTTGTGAATATTAAGAAATGCCTCTAAGCAGGCCCAGTATAACAAAGCTGGCTGTGTTTCAGTGATGGGAGTGTAGTGTGGAATTATGAGCATACATACTTATTGCAACTGATGTGGACTCCTTGAACCTTCACTTGAGAAATGGGAATTTTTAGTCCTCTGGCAATTAAGTAGTAAATTATAAACAAGGAGCAAATATTTTCTTGGTATAATTACATAGGGTATTTGGAAAATGTGAAATGTCTTTAAGTTGCTGAATATATCCCTAATTTTGCTGTGGGTTTCTATTAAAACTTTATTTTTTTTAAGGTAGAAAGCAAAGCCCTCTGGGCATGCCTTGCAGGAGCATGGGAAATGTAAAGGATAACTTGATTAATTGGAGTAAAATTATAAATTTGGATTATTTGGAGTCTATCAGGACAATAAAATGAAGAAATAATTATTCTGTGTCTGGGCATAGAACCAAAAGTGTTTAAAAGCCATATGGCTGCATTTAAAAAAACAGCTTCTGAGTCACATAACTTCAGTGTGAGTGGGTTGCTATGGAAGTTAGAAAGAAACCAACATTTGTTCCACTTCCATTTCCAATCTGAATAGTAAACTCAAATTTAAAAAAGCCTTTATTTTATAACAGCTCTTCCTGTCTATTTCCTTGTACACATTAACCCAAGCCACTCTGTTTTTTGATGTCCGTGCAGCTGCATCTTACTCTGTTTGTGTTGCTTATAATTAGTTTCTTCAGCCTACCAACTGTAAGTGTCCAGTTGAGACTGGAATAAGGAAGAACCTGTCTTATTTTATTCTGCACTCTTGCAAAATAGACAAATGTGGAATTTCTAGAGCTTTAAATCCATTCTGATTTTTTATCTAACCTGAATATAACAGCTATTCCTCTCTCTTCAACCCTGGCCTATATTTTGTACTCATAAGTAACTTCCAAAAAATATTTCTCTCTTTAACACTGAACCATTAGTAATCTGAAGAATATTTTGAGACAGTTACTTTTTCCTGGTGAAAGGAACGTGGAATTGGAAGCTACTTGAACAATAAGCAGACAATTACTGTTCAACCATTCTCTGAAACACTGTTAGTATTGATACTTAGGGCAGAAGATGAATAAGGAGTCATGGAATCTAATAATTCTCAGACTTGCAAAAGAAGTGAATGTTGCTTAATGTCTGGAATTTCACTGCTGTATGGATGAAGCAGGTGCTCTCTTTGAAGCTCTGGAGATGCTGGATAAAGCAGTGTCTGCTCTCTGAAGAACACAGCAGTAATGCTGGTGTCCTTGGATATAGGCTTCCTGCTGAAGGAGGTCCTTTTAAATCTTTTTTTCAGAGCTGTCAGGGTACAGTGTTGACAGGTTGCTTTATTTAATGATCAAGTATAAAGGCTGTGCAATGTACTACAGCCAAGAGGCTTCAGAGCTCAAACTGAACGTGCTAGAAAGCAGTGGGTGTCACTGGCTGGCCAAGCTTTGACCCCCTGCCTGCAGGAATTTTTTCATCTAATTTAGGCCTATTTGGAGAAAAGCATCTTAACTTTTGAATTGAAATATGATTGTAGGGAATTTTTTTTTTTTAATTTTGTAACTTTAACCAATGATAAAGGAGGTCATGCTCAGCCAGCATTACAGCTAACTTGGAATACACAGGAGTATATATCAATGTACATTCACAAACAGTAAAAAGGAGTCTTTGCTGGACTTTAAAGTCATAAGGTTGATGCTTAGAGCTGAAAACAAGCATTCAAATTGCCTCACTTTCAGCCTTTTTTTGTTTGTGTCTCTGTTGACAAAAAAACCAAATCTGCCCCCATAGATGCTCCAAATGCAAAGAATAAGTGTCTTAGTCCTGAAATCATGAGGTTGCTGTGGCTTGTTGTTGATGCTAAGGAAAGCAGATTGAGGATACCTGAGATTTCTTCACAAACTTATCCTTAGTAACTTGTTTTGACTATGAAAACTAAGTTATATCTACTTAAAACCACTGCATATTTCTGTGGACTGAAGCAGCTGTGTCTAAGTACCTTCCTCTAGCTCAGCTGTTTGTCTGACAAGGTAAGGACAGAAATATTTTCTATGTATGGAGTGTGTGTGTGTACATATACAGTTGTATGACACTAAATTTATAAATGACTAGTGATTTTGGTTTAAAAAAACTGTAAATTGCCAGAGAAGTAAAATCTGCATGTAGAAAGCAAGAGTTTTAGAGCTGATTCCTCATTTCACACCTCAACTAGTCCTGATGGTCCACTGGTGAGGCAGTGCTGTGACTTGCCTCCAGCACTGCCAAATCTGCCACGTGCACGTGTGTGTAACTTGGCTTGTGACTCCCAGTGTGAAGATGAACAGCTCCATGGGGACATGGAGTGGGATCCAGGAGGCATAGCTGCCCAGACCACCATTGTACACAAAGAGCTCAGCCAGCTAACAGGTCACCCAGCCCATCCAAAGCCTGGGGCATAACCTACCAGTGTAGGATGGTTCTGCATATACTTAGAGGAAGAAAGTTAAGATCCATTTTAGGTGTCTGAAATGAGGTGGCCGCTCTCCACCAATCAGTCCTCTCGCATTGATCTTTTAAACTAGCCTTTAAGCAAATGTGCAAATCCCCAGGTAACCTGTAAATGCTTAAAAAAGAGTATAATGTACATAAAATACAGTTATGTAGAAAACGTCATGGATGTCTCGGAGGGCAGAGCATCAAACGTGAATCAGTGGCATGTCCTGTAGCTGAGGGAAACGAGCTGCAACCTGTGGCATTAGCAGGAGTATGGCAGGCAGTCTGGGGGTAATCTACCACGTGGGGCTGCAGCTGAGGTACTTCACTGAAACGTGGGCCCCCTCAGTACAAGGGACAGGTTGGGTTGGACTTGATGATCTTGGAGGTCTTTTCCAACCCAATCTATTCTATGATTCTATGATTCTATGACAGGCTGGCAATGGGTGGTGAGTGCAGCTGAAGGCCACGGTGGTCGCTGGGGGCTGGAAAATGGATGTGCAGGAAGGGGGAGTGAAACTTCCTTCAGAGATGCACAAGAGCAATGGTAGTGAGGTTCAGTCTGAAATATAAAACAACTTCTTTTGGCTGGCAGTGTAAGTGGCAAAAGTTGCAATTGTTTGCTAAAAATTATGTTTTGCACTTGCAGACAAATTAGAAAAAAGATTCTATGCACGTGTAACGTGTATTCTAGAAATTTATTTTGGAGAATGCACTAGGGCAAGCTTCATGTAAATAGTGTGGTATTAATGGCACTATAGCAAGAAGACAAAACTTGTGGGGCCACTCAGTATCCACAAATGTGGGAGTCAGAGCATTGTGTTATTTGTGCTGGAAAAACTTCTTGACTGGAAAGCAAATATTTGGGATAGGAGAACTGGGGAGGGAGGTATTGCTGGAAGGACCTCCTGTACCCATTTGAGTCACCCTCTAGTCCCTACTTGCATGTCAGTCTCTACTTAAATGTACTGTAAAACTTCAATGTAAAGGAAGTAATCTACAATTCATATCTCTTTTTTAGGTAAT